GCCGAGCCCAGCCCAGGCCTGCGGTTTTGTCGACGTGCGTTCAGGTGAATTGTGTCGGTAAAGGCTGCCGGCGCCAGAGGATGGAATCCTCGAGTCTGAGAGAAAGACCTCCTGTGGACCGTCAGGAAAATCACAAACTTTTTTGGGTGGGAGGGTGGCGGGGAGCGCGGAGGAGAGCGACATCGCGGGATTTCTCGTTCATAAATCCCTAATATGTCGCAGGGATTCTGTCCGGATGCTGATCTCAGTCCAGGAGTGACTGTAGAGAGCTGAAGCGATTTTAGAAAGTAGATTTCATTCGTGTCTTTTGATACGCATTAAGCACTGCGTCAGAAGCTCTTCTGGTCACCTTATGGGTTAAAGGCACCACCTGGTGCAGTATTGGGTCGCACAGACCTGCATTCCCCATCAACATTAATATTATTATTGTCATTATTACTATTAACATTAACCTCGAGTTAGGGAGGAGTAATTCGCCAGTGTCCCCTACTGCTGGTTACTATCCAGAGACCCTGTCTGAAAGGGGAGCAGACATCAACCAAGGGACAGGATTGGGCTCGGCTTTGTTACCCGCCCTCTCCGCATAGTAGCCGGACCTCACACTTGCTGCTAAAACAGCGTCTAGAACCTGGTGTTGTTGAGATTACCTGTCAGATGTGGATGTGCTCCTCAATATTAGAGTTCCCCAAACGTGGAGCTCAAACAATTTCCAAAGTCCGACTCAGAGACAAGAGGGCTATAAACTGACAAGTGACCCTGGACACAGCAAGAGCTGAGGCAATGTTGGCTTCTTTCTGGCCAATGGAGCAGTTCCCAGGTCTCTATTGTCTTCGATTGAATTGCCTTGTGATGAGTGAGCAAACACCGCGGCTGTCTGCGGGTAAGATCCTTGCAGTCGATAACAAAATTCTTACTCGGTACGTGCGAGTTAGCTGCTATTGTAAGCCCAGTCGGCGGTAAATGTCTGTGCGTGAAAAGTCATGTTGCTCTCCTGTTGTGCCGATTGCCATGGGAACAGACGCGCCGAGCACTGAAGTGAAATGAGAAGGGATCGGCCAGCGATTGCGAGACAGGACCCAGTCCTTGCAATCCCGGATTCATCAGCCCTTCGGAGGAGGCGAGGCTCCTGCTTCAAGCGAAGCCAGCGGGCGACAAAGGCACGTTAGAATTTGGATGGACTCTCAGCATTATTTTGAGCTCGGGGGGCCAAATGCAATGATACCCGACCGTGGTATTTCTTAAAAGGGGATACTTATTCCCCTCCCGCCCTCCCCCCCACCACCACCGAACGATCAACTCCCAACCCCTCAACTCCCGAATCACCTGCTCTTTTCCTCGCGTTACCAAATCAGTCCTCCTCTTCGCTTCTGTTCCTTTCTTGCACCTTTTTGCAGATCACACGGTGCTTTCACGACGATAGAACGCAATAACAGCGATCCTTGCGTTCGACAAAGCGCCTCTCGTGGGAGGGGAGGACGTTTCAAAGCGGGGGCGAGGCAGCACGAAACGGGGAAAGCAAATGAAAGCTCCTCACAGGAGGTGGGGAAAGCCATAGAGGAAAGTGTTCCCTCCGGTGGTCAGATGCGGAGGGTTTGTGTCATCTGCGGTCATCTTCGTGTCAACGCACAGGCAGCGTCCGGGAGCTCCTGACGGAACGGTATGGCGGTGGACCCCCGCCCCCCCGAAACATTGACTCGCTTCCCTCTCTCCACAGATGCTGCCTGACCTGCTGAGTGTTCGCGGCCACTTCCGGGCTTTTTTTGGGTGGTTTTTTTGGTTTTGTTTTTAAACTCCGGTTTCGTTTGTACCGCTTTCGAATTGTTTCGCGGGCGGCTCCGAGGGAAATTCACGCGCTCCCCGGCCCCCGACAGGAGCCATTCCACATAACGGACCATGGGGCTGTTCTTAGACCTTTAAGTAGACTTTAGATGAAATTGGATTGCTGCCCGCCCGCAGTGACGCCATGGGACCCAGCCGTCACTGGAGTCTGAGCGTGCGGCACACTTTGGTTCAAGGCCGTTTAGCGCTGTTGCAGTTCCGCTGAGCATCGAGCTGTGTTATAGCCAAGTCAACCAATGTAACCGGGACAATTTAAGGCCGGGTTAGAAAAGCACCACACGGTCATTCTGCACCCGAACCAACAATGTTAAAGCGAGGGTTACATGCGTTGGGTCAATTGCCAAAGCTAGTTATTTATTTATAACCTTTTAAAATGTACTCTCGTGTGGTAACATTCTCGTATCTGAGTCAGAAGATTGCGAGTTTGTGCCCCCAATAGCACATAGTCTGGACTGACTCTCCAATGTGTTGCTGCAGTGTTGGAGGTGACGTCCTTTGGATGAGACATTAAACTGAGGTCCCATCTGCCTTTTCAGGTGGAATATTAAAGCTCCTGCGCCTCTGTTTGGAAAGAGTCCTGTTTCCTGGCCAACAATTACTCAAATAAAACCGGTCATTCATTTTGTGTCTGTCTTTGGGACATTTCGGCCACAAAATATATAGGTATATCCCGTGAAGCGCTTTGTGACGTCTCGAAGACTTGATAAGGCGCTACATCAAATGCGAGGATTATTATTTAATGAGTTGCCATGTTCGCATACAAAATACACACCCACTCTTTACAGTAAATCCTGTGAGGTGCTTTGAGACGAGCTCTCAACGTGAAGGGTGCTCAGGCAAATCCCAGGATTACTATTATTTATTATTAGGGGAATGGTGTATAATATTAAAAAAAAGCATGGATATGACGTGGTTACTTTATTTGTGTGTTGGGGTTATTTAATTTGGTGGGTTTGATTGATGCTCAAACTAAATCTCACGCTTAATTCTACCAGGAGCCCATTGATAGCGCAGTCAGCTGTTTTTTTTTTAATGCCACAAAGCAGAAATAAACTTGTTACACATCAGCGGCAGATTAAACCACTGGATTTGTTTTCATTTAACAACCTCGCGCTGCAGCTGCCTGACATTGTGTTGAAGACGACACCGCAGTATTTGCTGAGATGTGATCTGCAGATCAGCCGAGAGCACCTATCAGTCAACCAAATTTAACACAAGAAAAATGCCGTCTGCCTTTGTGCAGTTGTTATGGAAACAAGTCAACCCGTAATCCGTGGAATTAATGTTCTCTTACGGTTCAGTGGCAAAAATAATCATTTTTGAAAACCGTTTCCTTGCATGACAGGGGCGCATTTGAAACGTGATGGGGGGGGGGGGAAAAAAAAAAATGCTCTGCGAAGCTCACAAAGTAAATGGCACCTTCCTGGTCGACTCCGGATTGTACGTAAGAACCATCTGTGGATCCAGATATTCTTACCGCGAACACGATTGATCAGCAGACCATTTGAATCTATAAAACGATCGTAAAGGGAGATACGACAAGAGCAGAAAATGCTTCTTAAATGCTTTCTTTGAGTGGAAAGCTATTTTTTTTCCCAGTATGTTATAAATATGCAGTTGGACGACGTGCTTTGAATTGACAAATGTGTTTTTTGAGGATGCCTTCCCACCCCTTGGATAACGACAAATGGGCTCGTCTGTTCCACAATCTGTAGTCCAATGTGATGGTAAATAATGTTTTAACTGCGCTTATCACGCGCCGCCCAACACCAAAAATGTATTTCAAAACAACTTCCCTCCCTGAAGAATAGCTCTAAGATCACTAGCCCGTCGGAGAACTGTTACTCACTTGCGGGAAAGGTTTTGCCGTCAAAATAAGGATTTTTGGTCATTTCAAAAAGAAACTCAGAGGGCCCAGAAGTCTGAAGTTGGGTTGATGTGGCGCAGAAAGTCATTCCCCAACTGAATGTAACTTCCCCCAACACCAACAGCAACGACAAATGGCAGCCCTATAGTGTCGAGCATCAATTGGTTCAGCCAATTGCCCAACACCAAAGGTCAGAGACCGTACTATCCTCAATAAATATACGTCCGAAACCAAAGAAGCTGGATTGGTGAGATTTTTCCTACACACATACACACACACACGCGCGCACACACACACACACACGTACACACACACATACACATTTCTGTCTAGGTAGTGCTGGGAAATGCCATCCTCCGGTTGGGACCGAGATTAAACCGAGATCCCCTCTCTGCCTTTTCAAGCGGACATTAAAGATCCCGCCCGGGCGATTGTAAAAGAGAAAGGAGAGTTTCTTCTGATTTTCTGGCTCACATTTCCTCCGGAGGAAACTGGTCGATCGCTTGCTTGCTGTGTTTAACACCCCTCTCTCATCCTTTGGTACCGTGCAGAACGGTGAAATCCTGCCACAGATAAATGAAGGCACGCGTTCTAGATTTCTGATCAGCTGACTCGCTTTGCAGCGTTTAAGTAGGTTAACATACGTTGCTGTCTCGGGGGCCTTCTTTATATTCTACGGTGTGATGGGATATCGCTTGCAAGGGTGGAGCGTGTTCATGGCAGCTTCCTGAACGCATTCCCATTTCCCAGAGCAACAGTAATTGTTGCCACACAGCGTTTTAACGCTTACTGAAGAGCTGGGAGAACGAATGTTTCTCCGATAATATTAAAAGCAACAACAACAACAGCAGCAGCAGCTTGTACTGACGTGCTGCCCTTCACCGGGCGTAGGGTCTCACAGCCCGAATCTCGGAGCGAGAGAAGCAAGGGATATGAGAATAGGGCAGGGCAGTGGGATTGAAAGTCAGCCCATCTCGCTCCGAGAGCCGGTGAAGACTCGATGGGCTGAATGGGGCCTCCTTCCTGCTCTGTAAATTTCTGCGAACCCAATACGAAGCAGGTGGATCCAAGGCTTCTTGTTCCGATGCCAGCCGCGTCCTGCATAACAAAGCTTAGCAAGGAATCCCGTCAGGGAATCCCGCACTGCGTACCGATGTGGGTTTCCTTTTTTTTTTACCCGTTGCAAGAATTTAGAATTTTTTTTTTTTTTTTGCTAACTTCGAAATGTTTTATTTTCCGGATTTCAACATTTGAAGCTGTTTTGTTTTTGTTTTGTTTCTTTGTTCGTTCGCAGAGCACGGATGACCTGTTGGTCGCCTCGGCTGAATGCCCGACCGACGACGAGGACCTCGACGAGTGTGAGCCGAGCTCAGGTGGGTTAGGTTAGTCCCATTTTCTTACTTCTTTTCTCTGTGGGTCCGCGGCCGTCTTGTCTGCATGTTTGTGTGTCTCCGCTGGATAAATGTGACGGGGTTTGTTTCGCTGTTGGGGCTGCTCAAAGGACTTGTTGAACGGTGACTGCAAATTTGAGCTCATCCCGTGATACCTCTGTCATAAAGGGACACCTGGTCAAATGCGCAGTCACCATAACATACAGGACGACACACTGCGGACCCGAACTCCTCCCACCCTTGCCCTTGACGTTGGGCTTACAGTGCCGAGACGTCTCCCAAATGCTTCACAGCTAATTGCTGTCCAGTGTGGCGACTGCATGTTTGTCCGGAGAAATCCGCGGAGTGTCGAAATCGTACTGCGACAACAATAATAATCCTTGCATTCGAGACAGCGCTTTTCGCGTCTTCTGGACGTCTCGTGCGTACGTCCTTGCGTGCGTGCGAGCGCGCGCTCGTGAGGTCATTTCGAGCGCGGGCGGTAGTCAAAATTCTGGACAGCAAGATGTCCTGTTTGGGTTTGTGTCACTCCGACAGAGGAATGAAGTCCCCATCTACAGAGGGCCCCAAAGCCAAAGAAATAGACGTTTTAGCATTTCTTTTTCCTCATAAGTAAAAGTATAAAGTAGGGAAATGGCACTAAAATATCCTCCTTTATACAATAATAAGCCGGAACAGGCTCGACCGGTTGAATGGTCTGCCTCCTGCTCCCGAGTGACTAAGCTAAGTGGGGGGGAAATCAGAGCTGTTCATCCCCTCGGTTACTTTTTCCCATTATCTGCAGTAACGAGCTCAAAAATCAGCGTGCGCAGGCCCCCCCCCCCCCCCCACCCCACCCCCCCACTGCTCCTCTCCGTCAAAATAGAAGAGAAGAAGTCCCATTAAGAGTCGAGGGCAGAACTGAGCACTCAGAGTTGAGAGGCTTTCTCGCCGCGCGGGCACACTCGCTCAGAGCCCCTTTGACGAGGCAGCTCCTCGAAAGGCGACGAAGGCACCGAGTGAGGAAACAAGAGACTTACCAAATAAGATCGAGAGCCAGAACGCAAAGAGACTTTGACTGTCAATTAAAGGCGTAACAAAGAGGGCAGACGCACGCAGAGCGGGCCGGTCAGAATAAGACGGCGCTCGACGCAGTCTGGAGCGGGACCCGTATACGTCGGCAAAGAAAAAAAAATCCGCAGCTGGCGAGCCTCCCCCGGCAGGAATCAGAGAAGTCGCTGTGTGCAGGGTGGGCTCTTAACATTAAGTGCTTTTCTTGTCAAAACAAAGAAAAAAAAACCCTGCAGTTTAGACGTGATTGACTGAAACAGTTTACAAACAGCTTCATTACAGCCTTTAGCAGACAAAAACCCTCTTGTCATTTTCCTTTGCCGGCCCAGGACACCCCACCCACTCAAGCGGCCACTTTCCAGCACAGCCGGTCAGACGCAGAGAAGGTTTAAACCCAGGCTCGTCGCAGCGATGAGCGGTGCCAACCCGTCGCTTCAGTGTTAAAAAGATAATTTTAAGAGCAGAACGCTTATTTATTCGTGCCCACAAGTAGTCAGAGGTCCCCGCTCGGTCACCTGTGGGGTGAGCCCTCCCACAGGGCTCCATCCTTGGCCTTTTCTTGTCCTTGTCTATGTGCTCCATCTGGCCCATGTCATCCGCAGACACAGGGTAAACTTCCACGTGTCAGTGGATGACATACGTATCTCCTCCAGCACCAACCTCAGGTCCCCCTGATGTTCTATCAGCTTGTCTGGCAGACATCAAGACCTGGATGAGTGTAAACTTCCTGCAGCTGAATATGCACAAGATGGAAGCCATGCTCCTTGGCTCCCGTAAACGTCTTCGCTCCCCAGACTCACCAAAACAGTGCGCAACCCAGGCATCTGGTTCAACCCCCAACTGTCCTTCCTCCCCCACATCCGGTCCCTGACTAGGTACTGTCTTCTTCCACCCTCGCCACATTGCCCGCCTCCGACCGTACCTTACCCTCATGCGTGGGTTTGGCACCTCCCGCCTGGATTCCTCCAACGCACTCCTCGCCGGTCTCCCCAGGTCCTCCGTTCACAAGATTCAGCTCATTCAGACTCTGCCGCCCGCAGACTGACCTGATCATCTCACCAGCTCTGGCCCGGGCTCCACTGGCTCCCCATCACCGAACACATCGACTTCAAGATCCTCTCACTCTCGTGTTCAAATCCCTTCACTCCCCGGCACTTTCCTACCTCCCCGACCTCCTCAATCCCCAATCCACCACCCAGCGCCTCCGCTCGACGTGCACCGGCCTCCTGCTCGTCCCTCACACCCTGGAGGGTACTATGTAAGGGCAAGTTGTTGTTGTTGACGTGAACGGTATGATATCAAAGATAAGGATTATTATTAGTATTAAAACTCCTCCTGAATGCAGCAAGTCCCAGGTTGCATTTTACTGACGCCTAACAGAGATACCTGGAGATTATGTCCTGTTACCCAGGCAACACGCCCCCTGCCGGTGTTTATACTCCACCATGACTTACTCCCTCCCAAATCTCTCTAAAGATTTACCAAGAAAAACTTGCGGTGTTGTTAATAATAATAATAATAATAATAATCCTTGCATTTGTTATAGCGCTTTACTACGTCTTCGAGACGTCCCAAAGCGGGTTCCTACCTACTGCCAGGAAAACAGAGGCTGTGTGTGTGTGGGTGCGGAGTAAGGAAACTTGCCCAACCTTTCGCCCTGGCCGGGAATCGAACCCAGGTCCTCTCGCTAGCGAGGCGAGTGCTCTAACCGCTGAGCTACCAGGACTCCACAGTCCTGTACACTTAACTCGGAGGCACTTGGACCTGTGTCAAGACTCTCGTAGGTCTTTAAAGGAGGAAATTGCCCAATATCGTGCGTTTCCTGTGCATTGTCTGCGCGGTGCAATAATAAGGATAAGTGGCAGCTATGAATGACAATGGGTTGACGTGAATTTGGCAGTCACAGTCACAAAGCCGGAGAGGAGAGAAGGCTGTTAGTCATTCACAGAATTGACAGGCTGAGCTGACATATCTACAGCTCAAGACATGACTAACGTACCCTCAACATGGCAAGCATTACCCTTCGAATAGCCTCCCAGTGACCGATAAAGACAAGCTTACAAGTACTTAAGTCTTCGTTCTGTAATATATAAAAAAAGGAAAATAAGTGCTGCGTGCAAAAAGCATTGCCGAAGTCAAACCCATCGGGAAAGAGTCTTCCCGTGAAAACCACAGCGTTGGAAAATGCCTGCAAGGGTCTCGTTCAGTGTTTGTCGGATCTATCCACGCTACAGCTTCATTCCGCTCTTGGTTCCATGTCAACACAGCACTAACAAGTGAGTGTGTCTCTGTGATCTCGTGCACTGGGGTCCATTGATGCCCAACCTTTCTACCACTGAGCACTGAGATCTCGAACCCCTGCTCCTTGAGTCAGCCCTCCAGCAAACTACCGTCGCTTTTGAATGAACATTTCCTGAGGTTTTAGGCTTGAAGCCAGCGTTTCGAACCGGGCGCTAACTCCCAACTGCGCGCAGCAGTCTGAAACGAAACACGAAACGATGAAAGGCTGAGAGTTGGCATATCTAAAATTCGGTCAGGTATCCACCCAGACCTGCGTCCCAGACCTGCCTCCCAGCTACGCTTTGATATTGCTCGAAGAGGAGATTGGACGCAGACTTGACTTCCAATTTATTGTATCGCTGGCCGCAGTCGAGTACTGAGCCAAGCGGAAAGGTCCTGCCGTGGAAATAAAACGGTAACATTCAGACATGTTTTCCGCCCACGTGCACCGTGAAATGGAATTGGGTAAAACTACAATTTCTTTCATGTTGACTTTCGAGGCGGTGACCAGCTGAGCTGCCCGTGATGTTATTGTAAATTACTACCCCCCAGATCAAGCTGGTATCGGGCCGGATGAGTTGATAGCACTCCCTCCCCTGAGTCAGAAGATCGTGGGTTCAAGCCCCACGTTGGGACTTTGAAGTCACAGTCTGGGCTGACGCTCCAATACAGCGATCGGGAAGACGTCGTCTCGTGTCAGTATTCAAACAAGAGAAGGTAGTTTCCTGGCCAACAATCCCCAGAAATAAAATTGGTTATTATTTTATGTCTATCTGTGGGACAATACCATGCACAAAATGGGCTGCCACTTTCATCTACAAAAGACACAGTCACTACACTCAAAAGCCAGAGATAATCATCCACTTTGTCACCGTGAAGGCTTGTGTCGTCAGGTTGGAAAATGGCTCCCCTGGCTGATGGCTGGGCAGGTCTAGTCTTCAATAAAATGGCTTTGAGATCAACAGAGACTTCCAACTCCCGGATGCTGATCCCGGTGCTTAAATGAATCGATCCTGGTCAGGACCGACTCTGCCGCGTTTCGGCACCAAAATATAGGCTCGATTCACTTGACAGTGTATCCTGTGAAGCGCTTTGAGACGTCTCGAAGACGCGATAAGGCGCTGTGTCAAATGCCAGGATTATTATTATTATTATTATTATTATTATTATCTTGGTTGGGACTGGAGTGCCGATTTTTTGTTTGAGAGTCAAACTCGGCATTCCAGGAGCGGCTCGATGACGGCCAGCAGCGGAAAGAAAACAGGTCTGCTTCATGCAAACGGCCAGCGACCGCTTACTCGTGAAAGGTGCCGCGGATGGGACCAGATCGGGATGCAATAATGAGAACGGCAAATAATCCTTGCGTTTGCTACAGCGCCTGATCACGTCTTCGAGACGTCTCTCAAAGCGCTCCACGGAATAGACAGTAAAGTGAATTGACTGTGTATTTTGCGCGGAGCCGTCGCCCACAAACAGTTGTGCGTCGAGTGACCAAATTATTATTGTTTTTTTTATTTTATCTTATTTTTTCTTCTTCCTGCTCAGCTCCTTGGTAACCCCTGCGAGCCAAGGCACTAACGGGTAGTAACTAACGGTCCGAGCAGCGGGTAGCCAGGCGAGGAGCGGGAAGCTAGCGAGACGGTGTTTTCAACGGCGAGCTGTGCGTCTCTTTTTTTTTGCTGGCTAAGCTCCAACTGTTACCCTCACGCCCGCTTTGGATTCCCCGACCCTGGCTCTCGCCAAACCTCTCCGGGGGAAATCGGATAAAGTCCCTTTATCCAAAACCGGAGCGAGCAAATCCATTGCAGAAGCGGGAATTTCTACGCGTGTCCGTGGTGGCATCCTCGGAACTGGCGGGTCCGGTTCGGTGACTCTTGAGGCCGGTGGTGGCTTTCCGCATCGGTCAGACACACCGGTCGCCAGGAAAGAAAAGGAATGCGGCTTCAATCACCTGCGCTGTGTTTGGAAGCAGCGGCTCAGGACAAGTCAACCGGACAGGGACAAGCACTGATTGCTGTGTGTGTGTGTGTGTGTGTGTAAGCGGTGTGTGTGTGTGTGAGAGCTGCTGTATGTGTGTGTGTGTGTATGAGAGCTGCTGTGTGTGTGTGTGTGTGAGAGAGCTGCTGTATGTGTGTGTGTGTGTGTGTGAGCTGCTGTGTGTGTGTGTGTGTGAGCTGCTGTGTGTGTGTGTGTGTGAGAGCTGCTGTGTGTGTGTGTGTGTGAGCTGCTGTGTGTGTGTGTGTGTGTGTGTGTGTGTGAGCCGCTGTGTGTGTGTGTGAGCCGCTGTGTGTGTGTGTGTGTGTGTGTGAGAGCTGCTGTGTGTGTGTGAGCCGCTGTGTGTGTGTGAGCCGCTGTGTATGTGTGTGTGTGTGTGTGAGCCACTGTGTATGTGTGTGTGTGTGTGAGCCACTGTGTGTGTGTGTGTGTGAGCCGCTGTGTGTGTGTGTGTGTGTGAGCCGCTGTGTGTGTGTGTGTGTGAGAGCTGCTGTATGTGTGTGTGTGTGTGTGAGCTGCTGTGTGTGTGTGTGTGAGCCGCTGTGTGTGAGTGTGTGTGTGAGAGCTGCTGTATGTGTGTGTGTGTGTGTGAGAGAGCTGCTGTATGTGTGTGTGTGTGTGTGAGAGCTGCTGTGTGTGTGTGTGTGTGAGCTGCTGTGTGTGTGTGTGAGCTGCTGTGTGTGTGTGTGTGTGTGAGAGCTGCTGTGTGTGTGTGTGAGCCGCTGTGTGTGTGTGTGAGCCGCTGTGTATGTGTGTGTGTGTGTGTGAGCCGCTGTGTATGTGTGTGTGTGTGAGCCGCTGTGTGTGTGTGTGAGCTGCTGTGTGTGTGTGTGAGAGCTGCTGTTTGTGTGTCTGTGTGTGTGTGTGTGTGAGCCGCTGTGTTGTGTGTGTGTGTGTGAGCCGCTGTGTGTGTGTGTGTGTGTGAGCCGCTGTGTGTGAGTGTGTGTGTGAGAGCTGCTGTATGTGTGTGTGTGTGAGCCGCTGTATGTGTGTGTGTGTGAGCCGCTGTGTGTGTGTGTGTGTGAGCCGCTGTGTGTGAGTGTGTGTGTGAGAGCTGCTGTATGTGTGTGTGTGTGAGCCGCTGTATGTGTGTGTGTGTGTGTGTGTGTGAGCCACTGTGTGTGTGTGTGTGTGTGAGAGAGCTGCTGTGTGTGTGTGTGTGTGAGAGAGCTGCTGTGTGTGTGTCTGTGTGTGAGCCACTGTGTGTGTGTGTGTGTGTGAGCCGCTGTGTGTGTGAGAGCTGCATCTGTAAAATATGGTTTCCCTCTCCCCCGCCCCACCTAATTATACGGTAATGAAGACCTTTCAGTCCAAGCGTAATTTAATACAGCAGCAAAGCTCTAGTGAAGCCCCTCACAGGCTCAGCGACGGGAGAGTGAATGGAAACTCTCCTGAAACCCCACAGACCAAATTTCCGACTCGACTCTTTCATCCGCGTTCCTCAAGTCTTCACGCGCTCCACCCAATCCACCTCCTCCCGCGCGCCCTTCATTTCAATATTATTTATAGATTTGAATACAGTTGGATAATAATTTTAATGGTATTTTTTAATATTTTAAATAAGTGTCAATAGTAATCATTTTAATGTCATTAAATGTCTCACTACTATCCGTGGTGAGCAAGTTCTGCCCTCCTCGCATTGCTCCGCAGTTCCACCATCCGCAAAGTCCGGCTGATACCCAAACTCCACGTCCTCATCCGCCCCATACTCTGCACCCAGCCCCCCCCCCCCCCCACGCCCCCCCCCCACCACCCCCGTCGCCCCCAACCCTCTCCAGGCTCTGCTGACCACCCGCATCCTGTCCGACGTATCAATTTCAAAGTCCTCGCCCTCACATACAAATCCCTTCACGCCCTCGCACCACCCGAGATGGGTTGCCCGAGCGGGATGAGAGAAATGGGGAGGGGCGGAGAGGAGGCCAAAGGCTGAGTCAAAGAGAGACGGAAAGGGAGAGTTCGCGAGGCAAAACGGTTTAGGGACAGAATTCCAAAGAGCGGGGAGCAAAGTGGCTGAAGGTTGACCCACAAAGGGTGGGATGGAGGATGAGGGGGGGTGGCGGGGTTGGGGAGAGATGGCGGAGCCAAGGCAGCGAGCTGGGGGGCTAAGCCGCACAGGAGATCGTGCTTTTGCAGGACTCAAAGGATTGCTCTTTTTCAAAAAAAAAGACAGCGCAGACAGCGCAACCTTCTGTGCCGTCAATTTTGATGGTTCGGTGTTGAAAACACTCTGTGCTCTTGAGTCAGTGCAAGAAAGTATTGTGTGGGGGGGTGGGTGGGGGGTGGGTGGGGGGTGCTGTAACTTAGCGGTTAGAGCCTCCGCCTCCCAAGCGAGAGGACCTGGGTTTGATTCCTGGGCGGAGGCGATAGGTTGGTTGATAGTCGACCGTCTTGCCCTTGAATTGGGCCTCTTGCTTCGTTGGGAGGATCTCAGTCTTCGGCGACAAGATGGTCACTGTGGCCGCAGTGTCTACCTCTGCGTGGGACGCTTGGACTGTCGTCTTCGCCCATCTTCCCGGACCTGTTCTGAAGCACAGATGTGGCCCAGGAGAAGCCGTTCATTTTCATAACCCGAATAGCAATTTTTAATTACTCTCACACCGACACAGGGCGACTGAAACACGCAATAAATATAAATGAGCTGCAGAAATCCTATTCCCAACCACAGTCAGTATCAAGGCAAAATTAGGTCATGTTCCAGAGAGAGACAGAGACAGAGAGAGAGAGAGAGAGAGAGAAAGATTGCAGTTTTCGATTTAGTTTAGAATTGCAAGATTAGACTGACTGCCATAGCGCAACAGGTTCGAGTTAATGTTTTTTTACACATAATGAAGGTTAATTGGCCAATCTCGGAGACAAAGCAGTACCTACATTTCCCACCGGAAAACGGCCTTTAATCTTGCCGATTGCAGCAAAGCAAGAAAGGTTCCATTTGCGTCGGGGATTCATTTCCAACGCCGAGTTGCCCTGTTCAAATTCGCGGATTTATTTCCGATCGGTGCGTTTTCAAATCAGTCCGTGATTTGTTGGAAATAACGATGTGCGTTCAGAAGAAAATTATCGTGGGGAGGGTGGGGGTGTCTTTTCCTTCTTTTCCTTCGCTCTTTCTCTCTTCTCCCACCCTCCTCCCACTCCGCCACCCCCCCCCTCACACCCCCACCACCCCCCCAAACCCCCACCGCCGCCGCCCAAACACGCACACCTTTTCTTTTTGCCCCTTTTTTTTTTACTTTAAAGGAACCGCAAAATGAATGGGAAAAGGCAACGAGAGGCGGCGCAGTACATACCGATCGCTGAAATAGCGTCTGCAGATATGCGATAAAGGCATTATATTCAAATCAATTAGAAGGGCCGACTCAGTCACTTTGTTTCCCATTATACAACTAATTGAATCTGGGAACCCGAGAGGACTTGAAGGATTTCCATCGCCAGGCTTTCAGCAGCCGTTGCTTTGTCTTTAAGTGAGCACCAGGTCAATAACAATGCGGGTGGCAATTGACAGTTCGAACAGAGGAACCGGTAATAAGTAAATGTCTTTTCACCGACCAGAGGCACTTCCCGAGGTGCACTGAGGTCTTCGACCGGGGAGGTGGGGAGGGGGGGGTCTTGGCTGTCAAGCTGGAATTGTGGGCGCAAAGCGTGTCACGTAACGGCCTGTCTTTTCTTTCGTGTTTTCTAAGCAAAAGGGTTAAAGGTAAATTCGTTAAGAGCTTCGTCCGTGTCTTCCAAGACCTGTGTCCGGGTGAGAGGAGAGGAGGTCAGCGGTCAGGGGGCCAAACATTGGCAGTGACGAGCAAAGCCCCTTCTTTTGCGAACTGGGTACCCGGGCAGATGGTTTCTTCTCTCGCAACCGGCAAAGCGTTTTCAGGGGAGCGGCGTTTCGAAGAAGAATTCGAAACGAAACCCAAAAAAAAGCGCCGACTTTCACACGACGGTCATGGGTCTCAAGTCACGTTCGCCCCGGGCAGGGCAGCGGGGGTGAAGATGTTTTTCACCCCCGCCCTCAGCCCTCAATTACAAGGCGTTCGGTTCTAACACTCCCATTACAGGACGTTGGAAAGACCGCACGCTTCCACCCGCCTCGTTAAAACATACTGGGAGGGAGGGGTGTGGGGGTGGTGGGAGGTGGTTAAAAAAAATACAGTGTGATCTCAGGGGCTTCTGATTTTCACGTTTCGCCCTCAAAAATATGTAGTCAATTCACGTTACAGTACATACTGTGAAGCGTCTCAATCAGGTGATAAGGCACTACGTCAAATGCAAGGATTATTATATTATTATGTTATTGTATTATTATATCACTGTATTATATTATTGTATTATACCGTTGTATTATATTATATTATTATTATGTTTAACCGATAAACCCTGAGCAAACAGACACTTTTTGATAAGACGAAAAACAAATTTGGTGTTTATTCCAATAAATACCTGTCCTGATGTCACTCTGAGGAGAGGTTTTCTCTCTCTCTCTCTCTCACTCCCTCGCTCACTCGCTCGCTCGCCCTTGGTCCTGGTGGGCCAACTGGGCAAGAGTCACTCTTTGCCTCTCCCTCACTCCCCTGGGTGCCCGGGCGAGTCTTGGTGAGGCGTTCGAGAGGAGAGGGGCACTGCGTAACTTGTGCGAGGGCACTTCATGTGAGCGGGCACGACTTCTCAGTACAAGTGACGATAGCCCCCACCTCCCCGCGCCCGCGCCCACCCCCCACACCACCCCCCACCCCCCACCCCCCACCCCCCCACCCCCCACCCCCCAAAAAAAACTGATTGATAAACCACGTAAGATGAACTCCAAAAATCTAATTCACCTCCGAAAACCAGAAGCCCTTGTTCTAACTAACGGACGACGGTCAAGTATCCTTACGTGATAAGGAATTCGACGCGGTGCCATCAACGGACGCCCGAGCGGAGCGGACCTGAAAGAAATTCTGTGTGTTTCGAATGCGATGATCAGAAACAAATCCGAACGGGCCCCCCCCCCCATCCCCACCCCCCACCTCCGCCGCCGTCTTACACCGTCTTAACTGTCCAGGGCCTTGGGACGTCCTCCCGACGTGAAAGGCGCTCTATAAATGGAATCGTGTTGTTGTTGTTGCTGTCGTCGTCATCTTCCTCAGACCGTCCTTTATACAACTTTCTTTCTTTCTTTCTTCCGTTTTTCTTTTTCACGCAACTTCACCGGGCGGCGGCGGTGGGACACACACACACACACAACTTGTTGACTGACCTCTTCTGGTGAGCATTGATCTTCTTTTGATACTTTCGAGATAAAACGTTCGGATGTCGAAATGCTTTGCTCTCTAACCAATTATAGCTGCTCGTGTGGCTGTTTTTTAAGCGCATATAATATCGCTTTAGTATTGCTTTTTTTCTTTCCGGGGTGGGGGTGGGGGGGGGGTAGGGGTGGGGGGGTGTGGATGTGCGGGTGGTGGGGGGTGTGTGTGACGGGGACCGTTTCAAACGAAGTAACGGGTAGACAGCAGTGTCCGTCTCTCATGAGCAGAGCAAATTTTTCTCCCCACCCACACAACCCCCCACCCACCCACCCCCCCCCCCCCCCCCCACCCACCCCAGGATTAACAGAAGGTGTCAATTATTACCAGCAGCTCCTCCAAGTAGTTAAAGCTCACACCTCTCAGCCCCTTTCTCAACGCCGCCCAGCCTTAAATTATTGCCACCCTGTCATGCCCTTTGATTCCCGGGGAGCGGAGTGGTGGGTGGGGGGGGAAACGTTGCAGGTGGGGTGGGGTGGGTGGTGGTGGTGGAGGGAGTGTCGCCTCGCGTTGCCCAGCACGACGGCGCTGGTTGTCTTAACGGGGGGTGGCATTAGCCTCGAAAACGTCCGGATCTTTTCCGCGCCGGTGTCCGGCTGAAGCTCCACGAGAGAGAGAGAGAGAGAGAGAGAGAGGATCCTATCTCCACTCTTCCCTCTGGTGGCGGTCACGCTCTTCTCACCTGCTTTACCCTCCACGTCACCAACCGGAGCGACTTAACGCAGTGTTGGAAGGCGACTCGAAAGCTCGGGCTCCCGGATACAAACGCGCCGATAGATTCCTGACTTGAGCTTCCCTTCCCGCGCCCACCCCCCCCCACCCCACCCCACCCCCCCCCGAGCACCTGCCGTCCTGCTCCCTAACAACAACACCTGATTTATTTCCGAGCGATTTATTTCCGAGGGGCGCTCGCGTGCGCGCTGGCGCACACGCACGCACGGGACTCCCGAGTTTAACCCGCTTCCCTCTTTGGCGATCTCCCCACAGCGAACCCCACCGGACCAGGGGGCAGAGGTTTCCCGGGCACGGCCGAGGTGATTCGGGAGTCGAGCAGCACCACCGGGATGGTGGTGGGCATCGTGGCGGCGGCCGCCCTTTGCATCCTCATCCTCCTGTACGCCATGTACAAGTACAGGAACAGGGACGAAGGCTCCTACCACGTGGACGAGAGCAGAAACTACATCAGCAACTCCGCGCAGTCCAACGGGGCTGTGGTGAAAGAGAAGCAGGTGAACAATGCCAAAAATTCCAGCAAAAATAAGAAGAACAAGGACAAGGAGTACTACGTCTGAATCGTGCACTTGTAAAGCAAGACGGCTCGTGTTTTTAAAAAAAAAATAGAGAGAGAGAGGGAAAAAATACAAACAAACAAACAAATAAAAAAACATCTGAGTTTCACCCCCCCCCCCCCCCAAGGCACGGTGAAACGAAACAAAAAACAAACAAACAAACAAACAAAACTGATTTACTTTTTTGCAAAGCACACAGGACAAAGACAGTGACGCGATTGGAAAAGGAAAGACAACGGTTTGTGAAGTAAAACATTGACATTTCAAGCTGGTTCGGAGTCTCCTAATTGTTCACAGTGTTTTCATTCGCTCTGTCTTCTCGTTGTCTTGGACTTTTACTGTGGGAGGCAACAGCATACGAAGCGTTCATAACGAAGAGTATTAACGACATTGCACAAAGAAATCTCTACCCTGTTGTCATGAATTTTTCAGCCAAAGCGCTAAAACAATTGTGCAACATAACCGAAGTCCTACTACTTCGAGAAACTTACTGTTAGCAGAGACCTTAGAAGGTAAAGGGTTTATCATCTTTGCATCAACGGGAGACCTGTGTTTTAAGTACTGGCTACAAAACAAGACTAATGTTAAAGTAGTATAAAGTGGAATAATGCCTTTCTGGTTGTAAAGAAGTAAGGAAGCCTTAATTTCATCTAACCTGAAATGTAAGGCCCGGATATATACAGATAAAAAGAAAGCATAGATACAATCATTTGAAAATTTCCATGCACGCTAATATGTTACTACATACATTTATACAAACACGTACATGTGCTTTCTGGACTGTGATGAGTGATGTTTTATAGCCTTGTTGTATAGACAATGCAAATATCTCTGCTATCCAGACATTTTTGGTAAACGTAATGTTATAGTGTAGCTAAAATATAGTCCAGGTTTGAAGTTATTGATGATTTCTGCAACGCAGCCGTCATTAACAGCCTCAAAACTTTTTTTTTTTTAATTTCCATTGTAATGAACGTCTACCATGTATGTAGGAGGGTTATACATATGAATGTAAATATGATTTAAGCGGAAAATTTCGTTATCGGCCGAGGCGGTTAAAAAAAAAAAAAATCTCTTTTCTGTTTTTCCTGAGGTTTTTGTTTTCCTCGTTGTGTGAGAAAAGAGTTTACCCCCGAAATGAGGGTTAATACTGCTGCGAAATTAACACAGATTTTTTTTTCTGTTCAGTCGACCAATTTTGAAATTGGTTTCAATTCGTTCACCTTTTATATGTTTGCTGCAACCCAATGGGGGAAAAAGAAATGCTGAAACCAGCGGAATTGATTGTTTGCGAGATGCATTTTAGTATTGCTCAGTATCAGTGTACTTTGCTTCATGGAACACCTCCCAGATATCGACAGGATCATTGCAGGAAAAATCAGTTGATTATTTCTTTCTGTTTCTGATTCTTCTTTTTTTTTGTTTAATCATTATGGGCATTTTCATTTTTTAACCAGACAATAAAGTCCTTTACTCTCCCTTTTGAAAGTTCTATGTAAGAAACATTAAAGTAAATAGCTATATAAATTGCGTTATTTGGCTTTTTATGTTATTTTTGGACGATTTCACAGCAATAAAGCCCTGTTATAATCTACTCCGGACCAAATACAAAGGGAATATATTAGATGCTGAGGGTGCACTTGAAGGGAAACCATCTGAATTGCTCGGAGACCTCCTGGGAGGAAAATAGATGCTCATACGTTCAAACAGGAAGGAGGAATTTAAAATTAGCTTCAAGCGGTAGGGGAGCCATCACCTGGTGGGAACCGTTGTACTTTTGTGTCTGCAGTCACTCAGAAATCAACTACAGCTTCCTCGCCGACCGCCACGTCCACCTTGGTGACATTTTAAGCAATTCGTGACATTAGACATTCATTGCGCGCCGTACGCCACGGATAAACCATCGCCTCATCCGCAAAAAGCCCCCTTCCAAATCCCGAACCGCACACACCGCAAACCGACTCCGCAGATCGTCGGCAGAAAAGGGGATAATAATAATAATAATAATCCTTACATTTGATATAGCGCTTTTCACGTCAGGAGGACGTCCCAAAGCGCTTCACAGAACACACTGTAAAGTGAATTGACTGTATATTTGTGGGCGAACGCGGCAGCCAATTGCGCACAGCAATGTCCCACAAACAGTCGTAGATTGAAAATGACCAATTTATTATTGTTTTTGGTTTTGGAGGGATTATTATTAGGCTCTGTGTGGAGTAAGGAAACTTGCCCGAGGTTTCGCCCTCTGCCTGGAATTGAACTCAGGTCTCTCACTTGCAAAGCGAGTGCTCTAACCACTGAGCTACAGGACTCCACGAGATGGGGGAAAAGGATAAAAACAAGTTAAGATTTTCGTGCAATCCTGTCGCCGGAATGCAGGTCTCGCTGCTTTGCATAGTTTATTTCGGATTTATCCCGTGTGTGTTTTTTATTTACAAATCTACCACTTTCTCGCCCGCTTTGATTTTGTGGAGGGTTTTTTTTTAAAACGCCAAACCGTGAATTGGGTGGCGTGCATCCTGTCCGCCAGAGAGAAAGAGAGAGAGAGAGAGCGAGACTGAAAACATTTGAACGTTCTCTATTTGAATGAGATGCGTTCGCCGCAGAAAACGTGATTTGGCAAAAAAAACTCTTTCAACACTGGCACGTGAGCGGAGTCGTGCATCATTTTACTCCCCGTGGCATCGCGCCCGAGAAATCGAGACAAATGCATTTTCACCCCCCGATTAAAATGCAATCGCATCAGGCGTCCGAGACGTAAATAAAACACAAAACTACTGCAGATGCTGGAAATCTGTAAAACACAAACAGAAGTGGCCGGGAACGGACACGCAGCAGCTCAGGCAGCATCGACAGAGAGAGAGAGAGAGGAAGAGAGAGGAGAGGGAGGAGTTTCGGGTCAGTTCTGACGAAGGGGTTGTGGACCCGAAACGTGGACTCGCGCTGTTTCCGCTCTCCGTAGATGCTGCCTGATCCGCTGAGTTGTTTCTCTTTGACCGAGCCTTCAGCTCCCCTCTCGACTCTCTCCCCCCTCCTCCCTCCCTTCCCTCCCCTCACCCTGACCATTTCCCCCCCACTGCTCGGGTCCCGACCCAACTATCAAGCGCCTTGGGACGTCCTCCCGACGTGAAAGGCGCTCAATAAATGGAATCTTGTTGTTGTTGTTGTTGTTCGTCCCCAGCCACTTCGGTTTTGGTTCGCCGAGACGTAAAACGACTGGTCGAAAACTCTCCTTTAAAAGTGATCGAACATTTAGCACAAACACGTGGGGACATTTTGGAATAAACGGAGGTCAGCGCGCAGAACCATCGTTCCATTTGACGCGTATTTCAATCAGTTTTTTTTTTCTTTAGCACGAATGCGGAAAAGAGACAACAGAAAGGCGATGTAAGCCATGTACGTGGTTCCCACGGTTAATCCTAGCATTGAAGGGTGGGTGAGGGGGTGGGAGAAAAGGTATTTTAAATGCTTTATAATCCCACAATTGCTGCAGGAGATAGTGTCGCACGATTAGACCATATTGACGGGGGCATCACCTTTCCCGATGACATTCTGGTTCTCTGCTGCGCAGCTCTCAGCGGTGGTTTTAGAGTCGAGCGACTCGCCACCAGGAAACATAAGCTCAGACACGGCTGAGGAAGTCTCTAAACCAAAACAGAAGTGGCCGGGGAACACTCAGCAGGTCAGGGTCAGGCAGCATCTATGGAGAGAGGAAAGTGAGTCGACTGAAAGTGAGTCAGTTCTTCGTCAGAACCGGTCTCTCCTACGTAGAGGCGTGAGCGTGAGATGAATCACCCGGCAAAGCCGACGAGTGACATTTGCACCTGGTTTGAGATCGCGTGGTCTGGGTGACACAGGACGATGTACACCACAGGACCTACCCCGGCTAAACTGATTGACAGGGGTCAACGGTTGAAAAGCCGGATAGAGAAGAAAAACAAAAGTCTCGTGTTACTTGAACCGATCTCCGCATCTCTAAACGCTCCCGAGACAGTCAGGGACGCCCTTAAGAGCGTACGGGGAAATCCTACTGAATCTCCTACAGATTGACCAGCGCGCATCTGAGCTCGCACGCAGTACGCGCGAAAGCCAAGGTGGTTGGCACCTTTGGTTGAGGTGTGGTTTGGTTGAGACAACTGCTCCAAAGCAACTTGGTTTCTCCACCCGCCCACCACACCCACCGCACCCCCTTTACCTTCCCCACAACCACCTTGCGTCTTAAACTACCTACAGCCCCGTAACGCATGGCAGTTTCCAGATCTCACGTAGGTTGATACTGTTTGGTACTGTAATGTGTTGTGTGTTTTGACAAAACTCTCGTTTTCAAACTGTATGGACTTTTACTTCTGAAATGACGCGTTTCAAAGAAGGTTAAAAAGTAAAACAAGCCAACGCCCCGTCCTCCCTAGTGCTTTGTGTGATAAATATTGGAAGAACATTTTGTTGCAAAAGCCAAGTTAACCATTATTGAAAATGCTAAGCCCGTGGAATTTACTGTTTCTGTTAATAAAATGTTTCTTATAATAGAAACCTTGTGACATACACTTTCATTTTCTACGCCGCCTACAAACACACAAGCAAACAGAAGGGGAACTCGTAATAATAATAATAATAATAATAATAATAATAATAATAATAATAATAGTCCTTGCATTTGATATAGCGCTTTTCACGTCGGGAGGACGTCCCAAAGCGCTTCACAGAACACACTGTAAAGTGAATTGACTGTATGTTTCTGGGCGAACGCGGCAGCCAATTGCGCACAGCAATTATATATATTATATATATTCCTTGCATTTGATATAGCGCTTTTCACGTCGGGAGGACGTCCCAAAGCGCTTCACAGAATATACTGTAAAGTGAATTGACTGTATATTTGTGGGCGAACGCGGCAGCCAATTGCGCACAGCAATGTCCCACAAACAGTCGCAGATTGAAAATGACCAATTTATCATTGGTTTTGGTTTTGGAGGGATTATTATTAGGCTCTGTGTGGAGTAAGGAAACTTGCCCAAGTTTGGCCCTCTGCCTGGAATTGAACTCAGGTCTCTCACTTGCAAAACGAGTGCTCTAACCACT